ATGACGTTCTGGTGATCATAATGGCCTCAACATCGAGTTGTTAGCCGAAAGTGTTGATGGCAAAGGGGAAAAGGACCATAGCTACTTACATTCATGCCGATTGCTCTAATGATAGAAATCCGCAACACTTATCCGAAGTTTTGGATAATTTGCTGAACCCCAGAAGTCTATTGAAGAATGGGAAACAATATATTGGCGCAAGTGGCTTATGGCAGGGGGCAGAACTCCGGATGGTGCGTATACCGCAGGTAGATGAGGCGAAAGAGGCATAACGTTTCGTCAGGCAGCTGGCACAGCTCATTTGCCCCCTTAAATATTTCTAGCCTAAATTTGATTTAGTATTGAAAAAAATATTGATAGATAGTGGAATTTTTCAGGATAAAGTAGGCAAATAAAAAGTTTCTTGCCTTCGTATTGCAACTTACCTGAAAACATTTTCTAAAGAGTGCCAAACACTCGCCACGTATCCTACACGAAAAAGTCCAGAAATATCGTGTAATATCGAAGCTATTTTCAAGAGTATTATGAATTAATAAAACAAAAAAAAAATGTAATTTCTTCACATTAACCCCTTACCGCATAGTGGGTCATATATGGCACAATACTTAGTTTTATACCTAACCGTTAGAGATCGAATCTTATTTTAAAGTATTTATGCCTGATATAGAGCACATATTTCGTATAACCGGTACTAAAGCGCCATCTCAATGCAGCAAAGTGAATTTTAATGAAAATTTGAAAATGTTCGCGGTCTGACATAATCATCATCATTGGCTTCACAAGCCATGGTGGGTCTTGGCCTGCTCAATGATAAGTCTCCATTCTCTTCTATTCTTCGCCTTAACTTTCCAGTTTCGTACTCCCAACATTCTCAAGTCTTTCTCCACCTGATCCTTAAATCGTGCTCTGGGTCTGCCTCTCCTTCTCACTCCATCTATTCTTTGGTTATAAATATGTTTTGGCGGCTCCATCTCATTCATTCTCTCTCGCGGTCTGACAGCTGTTCATAAAAATTGTGCAATTTGGTATTCATTATCGAAGTTTCTACTGAACATTTTTGTACAAAAAAATAGAGACATCAAGGATAGACCTTCAAGAAAGATTTTCTGTAAGTATTTGCACGTATTTCTTTATTATTTTGGTATTTTTTGATCAAAAATATGCTTGTGACATTTATGACACAATATGAACAGTCGTGTGAAACTCTCTTTCATATATGGCACAATATGGGTTCTGAACTAGGTATTATTTTTTTTTTATTTTAGATAATGGATCGAAAAAAGTTTTATGGTGAAACTCTTGTGGTAGTGGACATACCAGATGGTAGTGAAGACTAAGGGCTATCAGATGATGATCTCGGTTCTACTGACCTGCCACCTGAGTTGTAATAAGTGGATTCCCCTTTTTTAAACATTTTTTAACAAATGAGATGATCAAAGATATAGTTTATCAATATATTCAAAAACCTTTGAAACTTTCTGAAAATGAGCTAGAACAGTTCTTAGGAACCTGTATTTATATGTCAATAGTGCAATTGCCAAACACTAGAAGTTATTGGAACTCCAGCCTGAATTTTTTTACATTTTGCGAACAATAACGTTGCTATTGCTGCCGGTACTCCTGGTCATGATAAACTTTTTAAAATCTGACCGCTACTAAATAAACTAAGGAATCAGTTACTCAAAGTTTCCAAAGAGGAATTTTTAGCCATAGACGAGCAGATAATTCCAACAAAGGCGAGTTCATCTATAAAACAATATAGTCCGCAAAAACTTCACAAATGGGGATATAAGGCGTTTGTTCTTAGTGGTGTCAGCGAATTTTCCCAGGATTATGAAATTATTGTAGGAAGCCAAACTAATGTCGTACCCGATGGTTTTCCTGATTTAGGGGTAAGTTCAAATGTATTTCTTCGACGAACACAAACAGTACCAAGACATAAATCACAAAATATTCTTTGATGATTGGTTTAAACAGCGTCCCATTGCAAATTTATTTAACGAAACAGGGTATGTTACCACTAGGAACATTTAGAATAAACAGAGTGCCAAACAGTAATATGCCAAAAGAGGCTGAATTAAAAAAGAAAGACCGAGGAGCTATGGTAGAGAAAGTCGCCACAATTGATGGTACAAAAATATCTGTTGTTACATGGTATGAAAAAAATTAGTAAACACTTTATCAACATAGCTGGGAGTAGGCCAACAGTTGAAGTTAAACGGTTTTCGAAAGAGAATAAGACACATATAATGGTTCCATGCCCAAAAGCTGTAACGATCTATAACACGTAGATGGGTTTAGTAGATCTCCTTGATTCAATGTTGGGATATTATAGGATCAAACTCAGCTCCAAAAAATGGTACATGCGTATAATTTTTCCATATTATTGATTTGATGACTGTCACTGCGTGGATTCATTATTTATTTATTTACGGGATGTCCCAATTTTTACAAAATTTAACAAAAATAAAATATACTAACCATAATACAAGTAAATACTACAACTAAGTATTAAATAATGATTAAATAATTATTGTTAAACAAATGATTAAAGTAAGTAAATTAAATTTCCTGAATATCTTAATAAAATGATCTTAATAAAATGAAATGAAATGAATACTCCAAGTTAAATGTCACTTATCTTCGATTCCTAACATAGTCAGTCAGACAGTGCTTAAATCTTACAGATGTTACAGATTTTATAACCACCAGATCATGAGATTGGCTAAAGTCATTTCCCAGGATTTGAATCCTGTTAATAGGAGAGAATTTGAGATAATGTCAATAGTTAGTGTAATAGTGTTTTATAGAAACCAAAGGAAGAATTGTAGTGTTACATCTAAAGTTGATAAGACTTAACAAATCAGAACAGTCAGTGGTATGGTCAAGTAGTTTATGACCTTAGTTCTACCGAAGACATCCCTAGTTCCTTAAGTTTAATTTATAAGCACAAATCCGTAGAAACTTATTTTCAATTTTTTCAAGGGTGTGAATATGGTTAAAATAGTATGATGACCATACTATAGAAGCATAAGACAGGATGCTACGGACGAAAGTAAGATATTAAATTCTATGTGTGGGCACTGAAAGATCTCGCGAGTTTCTTGTGATAAAACCTAGATTTCGGTAAACTTTATTTGACAAATTGTTGATGTTTGACAAATTGTTGAACTGTCAAATAATTCCCAAATCTGTTATTTCAGTCACTCTTGATAGAAGGCTTATATTAATGTGATAGTCAAACACAACATTATTTTTAATCTTTATTTAACTGAAGACCATTGGAAAGAGACCAATTATACAGGGAAGTAAGGTTTTCCTGGATCCTTAGACAATCAGATAGATTTGAAACTTTAAAATGCAACTTAAGGTCATTAGCAAATAGCAAAAACTGACAAACCTATGTTAGCCCATAAATATCATTGATAAACAAATTAAAGAGAAGAGGCGCCACATGTGAACCTTGTGGGATCTCCTGAACTGATCAAGATGGGAATTGAAAGTGAACACTTTATAAAAACAAACTGAATTCTTTCATCAAGATAACTACTTAACCATGAAAGAAATCACTCAGGAAAATCAATACATCTTAATTTAAAGATGTGTAAAGAATGGATTACTCTGTCAAAGGCCTTCGAGAAATTAGTATAGATGGAGTCCACTTGGTACCCATCCTCGAAAGCCCTGATAATGTAATCATGACATAAAACAAGATTTGTAGATGTAGATTTACCCTGCCTAATGCACATTCTTCAATAAAATATACAATACAGGAATCATCCCTGATAAATTGCTAGAATCAGAATTCATAGCGACGACACCTAAAAAACAGGGGGCTAAAAAGTGCAAAGAATATAGAACAATCAGCCTAATGAGCCACATGTTGAAACTGTTTCTTAGAGTCATCCATGGAAGAATTTATAAGAAGTGCGAGGAACAAATATCGGACAGACAGTTCGGCTTCATTAACGCAGTGGGTACCAGAGAGGCACTTTTCGGAGTAAAGGTACTGATTCAAAGATGCAGGGACGTTAACTGTGACGTATACGCGTGCTTGATCAACTATGAAAAGGCATTTGACAGAGTTCAACATCAGAAGAAGTGACAATGAGTATAATAATTTAGCTCTGGCAGATACATAAAACAAGAAAAGAAGGGGTTCAGCAACCGATATTCCAATATAATAGTGAAAGACAAAGATGCAAATATTCCTGTGGTTCATAAAGCTTCATAAAATGCGAGCAGTGTAACGCTTTTTTTTTTTTTAAAAAGATAAAAATTGTTATTACAACTTTCACACTGAATAATTATTATAATTAGAAAGTAATAAACGTAAGTTTTTTAAAATAATTTTATTTGTTAAATCTTGTTTAAATGCATAGTGTGCCATATATGACACAAAAAAAATAAAAAAATACAAAAAAACTAACCAAAAAGATTTTTTTATATTTTCACCGTAACCTTGAAGTCAAGTTTGTAGATAGATTTTTTTTTAATAAAAAAAACATGCAGTAAGGGGTTAAATATATTGTATACAGTTTTTGTAATTTTAAACATCATGCAATATATCACTAAATAATAATTTTCATTACAAAAAACTACTTCATTTTTTAATTTATTTCACTTACCAAAAGCTCATCATCATCAAAAAATGAACAATGACAGTTTTAGTGTTCAATAATTACTACTTCTAGAAATGAAAAATAATTGGGTGATAAAAAATTACTCATATTTCTGAGATCATCGCATGCTGCAAATAGCTATGGATGATGATTTACCACTCATCGACGTGGAATGAAGATACTACTAATTCGGAATACCTTTTGAAAAAATGTGTTGATCGAGCAGGAAACTATTATCAAAAATAAAATATTTGCTGCAGATAAAAACTTGTTTTTTTGGATAAGTCACGTAGTTGTCGAAGAATTTTCGCGTATGAAAGAAAACTGGCTCATTTGAAGGATTCTCTTAAATAAAACAATAAAAAAATGAATTCTTACCGCTCGAGTTGGAGTTGGCAGTTGAATCTTTAACATCAATGACATCCGATCCAAATTGTTTAAGCAAATTCTCAGCAAGTGTCGTGGCTAGATCCTTCTGGGATAACAAATCTTTGAGATCTTCTTCCAAATTTTGCTCAAGATCAGTCGAATGTGGTTCGGTAGAAGACAAGTAGTCTCGAGGTTCGACGATAGGGGTAGGTTGAACGATTTTATCGTTTTTGGCAGTGTTAGTTGGAGATACATCTTGATCATAGCTCTGGTTAGTATAACCTGGAGGTGTGCTTGTTGTTCGCAAAAGGTTTCGATGATTATGCCCTTGATTTTGCTGCATTAATCTGTACTGATGTTGCAACTGTTGCAAAGAAGCTTGTTGACTGGGTGTAAGGTTGTTGACGTTTTGTTGAAGGTGGTTTAATAGTTGCATTTGCTGGGGGGTTAGTGCATATGCAGGCTGACCTAACAGCGGTTTTTGATCTGGTTCAATTTTGAACCTTTTTGTGGTGGTACCATTTGGTGAAGGGTATGGGGGAGGGGGACCCTGAGGCGTTGTAGCTGAATAATTTTTCTGAAACCCCTGCGATGTACTGCGATTCGGTTGAGATGAGTTCTGTTGTCTCGAAGACATTTCCGCCGATATCGGAAGATTCCAAGCTTCTTCAATAGAAAGCAGTTGCCTTCTTCTATGGAAAATAGTCAGTATAAGCTTCAGACAAATTTTTAGATGAATTTATTTGATACAAACATTTTAACTTGTATCAGATCTTAGTTTAAAGTCAGTACCCGGTTTACAAGAAAACCAATAAATCAGAAACTTAATAAAAGTGAAAAAAGAAACTATTTAATGCAGAGTGCTGATAAAGAAGTATGTTTTGTGCAGATATTTGAGCTAATGATATGACTACTTTAGCAAGAAACGAAAAGAATAAAGATAATTGTATGGACACCAACACCCTTTATATCTATGCATTTATTAGTAAAAATATAGCGTAAAAAAGAAAAAAAAAAGCAGAAGCACAATGAGACAGAATTATTAAAGCGTACTGACAATAATTTTTTTGTTAAAAGGTTTTACAATTGAGCTATAAATATACTAGATTGTTATAATATTTTGTCGTTCGATAAGAGATGGAGTCTACGATTTTTAAAAACTTGTAAAGTTTCATGCATATCTGTCAACTCATTTGTATAAAGTTGGTGGATCATAGTATTTTTTTAGAATTGAAAAAATTTAAAATCGTCCAGTGATTTTTGGAGAGCTCACAGCAATCGTTTTGAAAACCACCAAGTGACTTTAAAGCCATGTGGTACCCATCCAGTAGACCTGTACAAACTGGTACAGGCTTTCAGAATGAATGAATGAAACATATACAATAAGCTAATTGGCTACATTAAGACCCGTTGATAACAGAAGAAAAAACAAGTCTTAAAGAGGATCCCTGTGAAAGATCTCAAAAAAGAGCACCACCACAAGCAATCATAGCAAAAATACAAGATATGGTTTTGGAAGATAGTACATTAACCAATAGAACTTTGGTAGAAATCTAGGGACGTCACTAGACAATTTGAGCAATATTTCGGCTGAAGTTTGGGTTTCAGACAGCACAATCGAATGCGACTTTTTTTGGCATCATTTGAAGCGTGTAAGAAAATAATATTATCCATCGTTTAATAATTATGGATAAGATCTTAAAATAGACATGTAAAAATATTTTGTAGCTCAATTAAAAACCTCTTTTAACAAAAAAGAAAAGTCAGACTTACGTAATTAAGTAAAATCATATAAGATATACTTACTGTGAAGTAACGCTTGGCATTGGAGCATTGGAAAGATGGGTCTGGAGAAAGTTAATACGTTGTGTCAAATGTGGGTTCATGCCCAAATTTGGAAAGTTGATTTTTGGAAGTTTATTCGTGTTAACTGATCCGTCGTTTGTTTGCTTATTAGATAGTCCTCTGCTTGAGTTCAAATAGCAAGCATACGCATCTCTTGCTTGCAGAGAATGCTCGTATAATATTCCTAAATTGGCCCAAGCTGCGGAATGGCACTTATCTAACTGTACGGCACATATGTAGGCCTGTAAAGCATCCATGGGCTGGTTTTGTTGCTGGTAAAGGACACCTATGCTACACCAAGTGTCCGCATTTCCTTCAGATTTTTCCACGGAGTTCCTATAAGCAATAAAGGCATCGTGGACTTTACCGATACTGGCGTAACAACGCCCTAACAGGTAAAGAGTTTGACCAGAAAACTGATCGGCTTCATTAGCTCTTTGCAGGTAATGTATAGCCAATGGGATTCTCTGGCTTTTATCTCCTAGTGATTCTTGGCAGTGATATAACCAACCTAACTGACGGAATATGTCTGCTCTCAGCGACTGGGAAATGGTCTTCTCTTTTAGCAGCGTCTCGTATCGCTCCTTGGCAACTTTTACTTTGCCCTGGACTTCAAATAAGTGAGCAATGTGGAATTTAACTGTAACAAAAAATTATAATCAACACTTGAGTTCATTTTCGAATGTATTCTTAGAGGCAAGAGCCACAATTTTAAAGAAAATAAGAGTCTAAAACATGTTTTAGTTAGTTTTGTATAAAATATAGGAGACTTATTTGTCGGTAATGTAATAAAATTTATAAACAATGTCATTCAAAGTCAAATATCATTGGACTGTCTAAAGTATCATCTAAAAGAGTGAATTTTCTTGAATTCCTTCTAATACAGTGAATTTGAAACTGTGAAATGTATGTATAAAAGCAATTATAAAAAACAAGCACATATGCGTCTACCTTTCGAATTTGGATGTGAGTACAAAGTGGAAAGATATAGTTTTAGCGTTAGATATAAAAAAGAATGGCATTATCTTGGGAAAAATGAAGTAAATTTGGCGAAGTAAAATATTTTTTCAATCTGTTTACGCAATCTTTGTGTACTTTATAACGGATATTTCAGAAAATGCTTATATTCTTCTTGTTCAATACGCTTCTGATCTCTTCTGCGGGATCAAGAAGTTCAAGAGTCACTTCAGACATCAATTACTGTTCCAAACCATGATAAAGAAGGAGGGTTTTCATCGTAATGATAGCACCTTATCACGAATCAATCTGCTGACAGAATTGACGAATTGACTCAAAACAGGATGGACAATACGTTGAAGATATAGAAGAATAAAGAATGATAAAAAAGAAAAAGAGGACACATAAGGAATATTATAAGAACAGCGGCCTGGATCATTAAATAATTTTAACAATCAATAAATAGTTTAAAAATGAATAGATAAAAAATAGACTATACAATAAAAAAAATAGGAAAAAGGACAGAAATGATTAAGTAGTGATTATCTACTGGTTTACATGAAAAATGGACAAATAACGTCCCAGTGGCGCACCCAGAATTTATCTGAGGGGGGTTTTGAAATTTTTTTAAGCTACCTCCATTTTTAGTCCCTAAAATTTGGGTTTTAATTTAATTTAAAGTACTAACGATAGCAGTGCCAAAGATTCAGGTATTTATTATCCTGCCTACCAACTAAAACCACCCTCTCTTATTTGTGCGAAGTTGATTGTTGCACGTACCGTACTCCGAAAGTGGGGTGATCCCTGTAAGGCTGACGACATTTTTGGAACACTCTCTTCTCTTATCTAGATCTTATCTATCGTTCTGAAGCTATTTTCTTGTGGCATTTTAAAGTAATTACGATTTTAATGGGAATAAGCCTCAATTGAAGGTTAAAATAAGTTTATTGACGTTTGACATTTATTCAACTTCTAAATACAATATCAAGGGTGACATACTGCATCCTTGTTTTAGTCCTTTAGTTACTTTTATTGGTTCTGATAGCCTATTTCCGATTTTTAGATAAGTAGTGTTATCAGGAAATGCAATATCTGGGTCCGTAATCTCTAAATTAATGGTCCATGTAGAATCATTCCCCACCAAAGTACATCACTATACAGGAAAAGAAATAAAGTATTTTTCAGCTAATATGAATTTAAAAATCATAGTTATCATCCTTATTTCAAGGCTCATCATTAGGAACTGAGAAAAGGCTCTCCTACAAGTTTTTTGGACATATTTCAAGAAAACTACCCTTCTATTGGCTTTGTCCAAAGAGTTAAAGATGTATATGTTACATATGATGAACTAAATTTAAAAATAAAAAGTCCTGTTTTGAATGAGAATGCAAAGCGAACAGCTGTTGCTGAACTAATAGTACACAAACGTAAATCTAAAAAGTTCTATGCATCACTGAACGAAGTGACCACGCAATGTGTCAGTAAGCCTGAAGAAAATGTTGGTATCTGCATTGATTTTAAGGCCCACATATCTCTACCTTGTATTCCTGTCCAAGATACCTATTACTTTAGACAGCTCACTTTAAACGTCTTTGATGGGCATAATCTCGAGACACGGGAATGTACAATTTTTGTCTATCATAAAGGTGAAGGGAGTAAAGGCTCAAACGAAGTTTGTACTATGTTAGATTGGTACATAAAAAACAAAATTGGCAGTGGTGTAAAAATCTTTATCTGTTTGGGGACAACTGCGCAGGGCAAAATAAAAATAATACTGTCATTCGCATGATGATGTACTTGTGTGAGATAAAAAAGTTTAATGAAGTCAAACTAACCTTTCCCGTTAGGGGTCACTCTTTTATGACACAAATGACAGAGATTTTGGCATCATCAGAAAAAAAATTAAGGCAAGAAGAATGATATACTATTAATGAGGTTGAAGAGCTTATATTGAAATCATCAAAAATTGACGGCAAATTTTGTGTTATTAAAATGACTGCTGATGATTTTCATTGACTTCAGTTCATGGTGGCCCCAGTTTTATAAAAAAAAACCTGCCAAGTGATGATTCGTATGGCAAAAATGTCCCAAGAAACCAAAAAAGAGCTTTTGCCACATCACAATAAAGAGAAATGACTTTTTCATCAAAGAATGCAAGAACATCGGCAGCTTCACAATGGATGAATTCAAACTACGGAATGCAGTACAGCCAATTCAGGCTCCTACTAGAAGAGCATATTCAACTGTACTTCCAATTAACAACAAGAAATTGAGGAAACATTGGTATACATCCCAGAAGAAAAAAATTAATTTTTGGATTCCGATTTTGTCATGGCCAATTAAAAACTTGAACTGAAATTTACTTCAAAGCTTTAATTTATGATTTAATTGCTTTATTTCATGTATAGGACGTTGTTTTACTTCATTAAAATTAATAATTCTCATAAAATATTCTGTTTGTAAATTGATTGTTTTCCTTAGAACTTCTTAAAGTTTCTTGTTTACGGCAGAAAAGGAACATGTCCTTAACACAAAATAATTATCTACCCTCTCCTCTTAAAACATTTAAATATTTTATAAGTATGTAGTATTCCAGAATGCCTAATTACATAAACCTTCAATGCAAAAAAATTAATACCAGTAGTGTGTTTGTTTACCAAGTTTTTTCCTGAAAAATTGGCAAAACTGGACTTGCTGCCTTTATGCAGTTAGCGATTCATATAATAATGATAGAACATATGAATAAATACTTGCGTCCAATGTAGCTACTAACAATGGCCGATCTTGTTTCTGGAATGTCAATGGTGTACGAAAAAAAATATTTTGGTTCATATATATGCAAAATAATTATTTATTTTCGTTGATATTTACATTCGAATAAAAGATACAATTAAAAAATTATTATTTTTATAACATAAAAGCATACGAAACATATATTACTTTACCAAAAAGAATACTATTGACTTTTAACACATAAAGTTGCCTGCTTAACATTAAAATGCCGGGAAATAATTAATCAGCTGTCAAACTCACGTCATTTTAGCTAGTAATGTGACGTCACTACCGTCGTCTATCAGTAACATGTAAAAATATTAATAGGCTCAATTCTCAGTATATTATATCAATGGTTAAAACGAATAGCCTAAAAGGGCTTCGTCATATTGGTCGTAAAATTATTGTGGATTGACAAACTGAAATGCTCTTATAAATTAACACGGTTTCGCACTCGAATCAATTAACAATTTAATGCCGACAGAATCAATGCTTCATTTAGTGTTAGGGGAGGTCAGCGATGATTGTTTCATCTGTGCACCTGAAGCGCAAACAAAAAACCGCGAATATACTGACTAATAAATGCACGTACTTTTGTTTTAATTAAATTATGAAGCCGATATTGGCGCATTCAGTAATAATTTTTGTTATTGTTGAATATCATGTGAGTTCTTTTTGGTTTTGGACGATTCTGTACAGGGTGTCCCAAATTGGTATATTTTGCAGGGTATACCGAAAACTACAGGAAATAGATCTGACATCTTAAATTTCATCCATCACATCCCATCTTGAACCAAGAGCTATCAAATATCAAATGGGATATAATGTGTGTAATCAACTGTGCGAAACTCGCTTACCAGGAGAAGCATCTACCATATTAAAATCTGGTCACCAGCTATACCAGAAAAACTCCGTAGAAAATCATCACATAGGCGGTGTAACGTTCCTGATAAACAAACGAGCTCCCTATAAAATAACGAAGTTCTGTGCAGTATCAAACAGAGACATATATCTTGTCATCGTTTTGAACCGCAGATACAGCTTACAGATAATACATGGATATGCACCGACAGGAAACTCAACAGACGAGGAAGCTCGTCTGTTAAGGTAAGGAGGAAACAGAATCACAGGAGATTTTAATGCAAAAATTGGAACAAAAGAAGAGGGCGACACACAATATATCGGTCGCTTTGGGCTGGACAACAGGAACGGAAGGGGTGAGATGTTGTACATCTACTTAAACAACGAATATTTATTTTGTCTCAACACTTTCTTTAAAAAATCTAAACAACGTAACTGGACATGGATCAGCCCAGACAAGGAAACTAAGAACGAAATAGACTACATAGTCTCCAATAACAAAAACATATGCACCAATGTGACAGTACTAAACAAATTCTATACCGAAGTGACCACAGATTGGTTAGAACCAATATTGAGTAGAACGAAATAAACTTATTAAACGAGAACGATACCTAACCACCGATGTCCTGTTTCAAAAGCAAACGAAATACCAAAAAGATCTAAGCAGAAGACTAAAATCAATAGAGACACTGAAACAAATGGATATAAACGGACTAACCAATAAAATAAAAGTAACTGTAACAACATCGGTTAAGAAAATATGTTCAAACACGAAAACAGTCAAAACATCTAAACTCCAACCTAATCCAATTAAACTATTCCAAGAAAGACGAAACAGAACAGATCGAACTTCGGACAACTTCAAAAGATTAAACAAAAACGTGAAGAAAGAAATTAGGAACGATCATAGAAATTATATGAACAATCTAATAAAAGATATAATACAAGATAACTATAATATAAAAGTACTGAAAGCAAAAAACTCGAGCGGCATAACAAAAATCATAGAAATAAAAAATGGGAAAATCGTCACTTCCCGAGACAGAAAGGAAATAGCGAGACCAATGAAAAATTCTACACTAAATTATACTCGGTAAAATACACAACCATAACAACGACGTACTGAACGACCAATAATTAACATCGGCTTAGAAGAAATACCGGACATAACCGACTATGAAATAAGAATGGCCGTAAATCAACTTAAAACGAATAAATGTCCGGGAGATGATAAAATTACAGTTGAAATGTTGAAAATTGGTGGCAAAAAAATGGAACATGTATTAAATATTTTATTTAATAAAGTACTCGATGAAGGAAAGATTTTTCAGACCAATATCCTTGCTATCACGTCTGTATAAATTACTAACTAAAATCATAACCAACCGTCTAACACATAAGCTCGATTTCTATCAACCATAAAGCATTCGAGACTCTAAATCTCTAGAAAATGCACGTCTAGATTCAAGATAAACTAACTATAATTAAAAACATGCCACCATGCAGATAAAGCTGGATAAAAGTACAAAAACTAATCCCATAAGACTACAACGGGGAGTAAGACAAGGAGACACCATCTCTCCCAAACTATTTACCCTTGCTTTAGAAGACATTTTTAAGAAACTATATCCAAGGTAACATCCAAGAACTAAATGATATGTTACAACAATTAAATGCAGATTCAGGAGAGGTAGGCATAAAAATGAACTACAGTAAAAGAAAAATACTAAGCCGAGACCAGACATATATAACAATGCAAAATCATACCGTAGAAAATGTTGAACATTATGTATATTTAGGACATGTCATCAAACTAGGAAAACCAAATCAAGATGCTGAAATTAAAAGAAGAACACAACTGACATAGGGCGCTTTCGACAAACTAGCATATATCTTGAAAAACACCTCCATTCCTGTAAACTTAAAGAAAAAGGTGTATAACACATGCATACTACCAGTTTGTACCTACGGCTTGGAGATAGTAGCCCTTACTAAAAAATTAGAAACAACGCAAAAAGCAATGGAACGAATTATGCTTGGAATATCACTGAGAGACAAGATTAGAAACATCGAGATAAGACGTAGAACGAATATTAGGGAAATTGTGGAAGAAATTACAAAAATGAAATGGCGCTGGGCAGGTCACATAGCCAGATATAATAACAGGTGGGCATGGAGAATTCCATTGGAGAATGGGCAATTTGGTCTGCAATTAAACATATCAAAGACAAAGATCATGATAGTGGATAGACTACACAACAATCATCCACAAATAACCACAATTGACCGGTTCGAGGTTGTGAGCTCATACTTATATCTGGGATCATTAATCACAAACACAGGGTCATTACAAGAAGAGATTAAACGTAGATGTGATCTAGCAAAAGTTGCCACAGCAAAAATGACCAAAATATGGAAGGACTGTCAAATTTCAGGAGCGATAAAGATGAGGTTGATCAACTGCTTAATATTCCCAATACTGACCTACGGATGTGAATCTTGGACTCTGAGACAATCGGAGAGAAGAAAGATAGACGCCACTGAAATGTTCTGTTGGAGACGAATGTTACGAATTCCTTGGACCGACCGTAGAACAAATAATTCAATTTTAAGAGAGCTAAAAGTTAGCCAACGACTCTCTAGTAAAGTCCATCTCCAACAATTAAAATATTTTGGGCATGTTATGAGAGCAAACACAGAAAACATGGAAAGACTCATAATACAAGGAAAGGTAGAAGGCCGAAGATCACGAGGAAGATCCCCAACAAGATGGATAGATCAAATTACAGGAATATGCCAAAGACCTATGCATGAATTAAAAGAAATGACCAGAGATAGAGACGGACAATACACGACATCACGTCGACCACTACACTCCCCCTGGGGGGTCAGGATTGAAGAGAGAGAGAGATGGAGAATTCTAAAATGGAGACCAAGGACGACAATAAGAAGCATGGGAAAACCTCAAAAAAGATGGATAGATAACATAAGAGCAGTGGCAGGCAAACAGCATGCAATTGGGAGAGACCTACATTCAGGAGTGGATGGAAAATGGTTGGCAAAGACAGATAGTTCATCCTATCTTTGGTGTTGATTAAAAAGGAACCTAAAGTGTTGTGTGACTTGAAGAAAATTTTGATGTCTTCTATTGTAGAAGCAAAAAGTTTTGATCAATAGCTCCCCAAATTAGCGAGATACAGGGCGATTATGTTACTTTAACAAAAAAAGTCATGACATCTTAACTACTGTTTTTTTACCTCTTTTAGTTTTCGGTATACCCTGCAAAACATACTAATGTGGGACACCCTGTACATATGTTCAACTTGAAAAGCATCAAAAATTAAGTTTTGCATATGAAAGGCAGCTAATTGTTACATCGAGATAATATTAAACATTATCTACAATGTCCTTACATTATTTCTTTTCTTTTTAAGTTCTGCTACATTATCTTCATCATCATTTTGGCTTTACAACTCTGTGTGGGTCATGAAACCACCCTGGCATTGTCCTATTATTCGATCTGCATATGGTGCCATAGTATATTAGAGAATATTTTATACGCTGCATTTAGGAGCGTAATTCCTCGATAGTTAGAACATTCAAAGATATCTCCCTTTTTGTGTATGGTGCAAAGTATTCCAATATTCCAATCACTGGGAAGGGACTTCTGTATCCATATTTCTTTTATAAGCTGCTGTAGCGCTATTATGATATCGTGGCCACCTTCTTTATATAATTCCGCTGGGAGATTATCTATTCCGGCTGATTTGTTTCTGGCTAGTTTGTTTACAGCGTCTTTAACTTCCAGGATCGTTGGTGTTCGCTGATCGTGCTCTAGACAAACTCGAAAATGATGGCGATTTTTTCAAAAAAATAATCTTTTCCGATGAAGCTCATTTTTGGTTAAACGGCTTTGTAAATAAGCAAAATTGTCGTTTTTGGAGTGAAAATAATCTACATGAGATTCTTGATAAACCTTTGCATCCAGAAAAAATCACTGTCTGGTGTGGTTTATGACATGGTGGCATCATTGGATCTTATTTTTCGAACATGGTGTAACAGTTAACGGTGAAAGGTATCGAACGATGATAACGATTTTTTGTGGCCTCAATTGGATGAAATGGATTTGGATAACATGTTTTTCCAATAGGACGGTGCCACATGTCACACTACTGCCCTAACCATTGATTTATTGAAGTAAAAGTTCCCGGAAACACTGATTTCTCTTGATGCCCAAGGAAAATTCTTCTACTTTTTGTAGATCTTTCGATCTGTTTAATTCTGAAGCTGCCTCTGGTTAATTTCTTGGGAGGTAGATTGCCAACTATCCTTCCATCTTTTAGGTGGTCTTCCGGGGGGTCTTGAACCAGGCGGATTGTTTTCTAGGGCAATTTTTGGGAGTCTATTCTCATCCATTCGTCTTACATGGTTGTACCACATCCTCTTGCGCTGTCTTCCCCATCTTACAATATCTTGAATTTTGCACTGCTCTCTAATGTTTGTATTTCTCACTCTGTCCCTTCTTGTTTTCCCCATTATTGTTCTTAGGGTTTTCATTTCGGCAACCCTTAGCATCTGTTTCGTTTTGTTGGTATCTTCGCGCACTTCTATGCCATATGTCATGATCGGTCGTATGCAAGTCTTATAGATTCTAATTTTACTATCTGTGCGCATATACGGATAAAGGAAAATTCCGTTGGATTATTTTTTATGAGGCTATCTTAAGTCATTGGTCTATATGAATAAACCACAATCCATTGAAGACTTGAAGAGGAACATGAAGCACACCGTTCGTGAGATTAATGCGGATATTTTGCATAAAGTGACCGACAATTGGGTTCATCGGATTCGCTCCTGCAAACGTAGTCGAAGTGGACATTTGAATGATGTGTTATTCAGAACATAATTGTTATCTATTATATTTTGCAATAAACTTTTTTTTGATTTACAGCAATTTTTACCGTTTTCGTTAAAAAAAAAACATCAGGACATTCTTATTGGGAGACCTTTTAGTTTACGTAACTTAAAAAAAATAATAAAGATAGAAAAGCCATAACTTTTGTCTTTTTTGTAGAAATTTTCATATCGAAATTCTTGCTATTCTATTTCATCGCGCATTCACAGTCGCATTGGAGAATGTAAGAGTGACGGACGATAATAAAATTCACGAGCTCTTCAAAAATAGCTTAGGACTTACTTGTATTTTTTGTTGCTGTAGACGGGCTGTTATCCACTAACGCTAACTGTAAATGTTTGTGTGCTGATTCATATTCTTGTGTAATTTTGAACATCAAACCAAGCCTGACGTTGACTTCATTTGCTCTTTGAAATCCGGGCGAAACGTAAAGCAACTGCTGGAAAGCTTTCACAGCCCTGTAACAAAGAATTTATATTAAAATTTATGTTTATTTTTACTCATATTATTGTATTTTATTTTACTCATCATATATGTCATATTATTAGTACACTAACAAATCGTCCATCCTATAATTTTTAGAATAAACTAATGTTATTCAGCAACTTCCATCCTTAAATTAAAAAAGATTATTACTACGTAATTCCTAAGCATAATTTGTTTAATTAGAAGTTTAGAAAAGGAAACTGTGTCGTAGAGCAACTAATTAATTGACGAATGAACATTTACTGTTGAAACAACAATCAAAGTAACAAAAGAAAGCCAAGAAGCTGCTAAAATAATTATCAATAAACATCCAAACATTTTATTACAGATTCCATGTCATCACTACACATAATAAGGAAAATATACACGCAGCATCCATCCGCTTTACTAATAAAGAAAGAACTAAATAAATTGCATACTAAAGATACAAGCATCAAGTTTCTCGATACCCCATCTTACGCTGGAATAGCAGGTAATAAAGCAGCAAACAGAAACGCCGAAGAAGCTACATAACAGTATCATAAGTATGGATCTAAAAAGCTACTTCATAAAGCACATATTCGAGAACTGGAACAAGATTGGACCATGACAACCAGCGAGGTATCCAGACGAAAGCAAATAATTATTTCCCGTTTACGACTGGGACAAACCCAGTTTTCTCATAAACATTTGTTTAAAAAAGAACCCCAATTTTGTGATTAGTGCGGTTAACCCCTTACAGTAAAACATGACTTCTTGTTCTTCTCGTAGCACTACAACTAGGTGGGTTTTGGCTGACTGCACAACTTGCTTCCATCTAGAACTGTCGTCCATAATAGTTGGGTCAGTAGGTAGCCCCATTGTTCTTATATCTGACCATATATTGTCTCTTCATCGCATTCGTGGACGTCCTAAGGGCCTTCTTCCTGTGGGGCTTCCTCCCATATTAACTTGGCAAGGCTGTTATTACGGAGTCTATGGACATGGCATCTTAGACGTTGGGCTTTAATCTCTTGGACTATATCACTCGCTCTATACATCTGCTTGACCTCAGCATTTGTTCTCATTCGGTATTTGTTGCTATTAATGTCGTGATAAAGATTCTTCTGAGAATTTTTCTCTCAAAACACCTAAGTTTTCTTTCAGTTTCTTTGGTCAGGGTCCACGTCTCACACCCATGCATGAGTATTGTGGAGGCTGTACATACATCTGTTTGCTGCCTGAATTCTTCCTTTAATCTCTTCCGCGATATCCTTATCTGCAGTGATTGTTACTACGAGATATTTAAAACTCTCCACTCTTTCAAAGTTATATGGGTCTATTGTAACATTTTGCCCTATTCTATCTCGTCCCTTTTGTCTGTTGATGCACATGTATTTGGTTTTCTCTTCGTTTACCCTTAAACTAGTTTTCTTTGCCTCTACCTCCATTTTATTAAAAGTCTCCTTCACATTGGTGACTGTGTTTCCCAAAATGTCAATGTCATTTGCGTATGCTAGTAGTAATTTTGGTCCATTTACTGTCAGTAATTCTGTTTTAAGTTGTGTTGCTTTTACTACTTTCTCCAGGATCATATTAAAAAAGGAGAGGTGACAGCGCATCCCCTTGTTTCAGGCCACTGCTTCTTTCGAAAGATTCTGAAAGTTTGTTACCTATCCATACTCTAGATCTACAGCTATTCACACATAACTTTACAAGCTGGATAAGTTTTTTTTGGAACTGAAAAATATGCCATTGCATTCCACATCTGACCCCTTTTAATGCTGTCATACGCTTGCCAACAATTTATGAACAGATTATGGATAGTTTTATTGAATTTCCATCCTTTTTCAAGCAGCTGTCTTAGAGTAAAGATCTGATCTATGGTCGATCTATGTTTCCTGAAGCCGGCTTGGTATTCCCCCATGAAATTTTCTACAAACGGTGTCAGCCTACTTAATAGGATGTTCGATAAAATTTTATATGTCGTATGAAGTAGGGAGATGCCTCTATAATTAGTTTATATTTTAATAATGCTGGTGATCAGTGGATGAAAAATATTCCTGGAAAAAGAATGACTATATACGATTTGCGTTCAATTGTAAGAACATCACTTCCTTTGGCCACTACGCCTGTTAATATTCTTGCTGGTTTCTCCTGCACTGGTATTTGGCCTTTCAATCGAGAGATTTTCAACGATAGTGATTTTAATGCATCAACTGTAACTGATAAACCTCTATATGAAGAAAACATAGAAAATAATCAACCAGAATCACCTACACTTCAACACAATAGTTCCTTGGGAAGTCAACCGCGACCATCCACCTGTCACCAAAAATACATACTACTCTATCACCCAAGCCTAATAACCCAGCAGTATTTATTTCGCCTCAAGATTGTTGCAGAAATAAAAACAATATCATAAGTGTATGCGAAATGAACAACTCATAGTGTGCCGGTTGTCATAGACAACGAATGACATTAACAAAAAATAATTAAGAACGAGAACAGTCAAAAATATATTATCATTACTATCAATCAATTTATATCATTATTTTCAACCAGTTTAAAATCAGTTATCAATATCAAATAAATTTATCACTAAAAATACTTTGAATGCTTTAATACAAAACAAAGATATTAAGCCATTGCCGAAAGCAGATCAAAAAAGGAGGAAGAATGAGACGAAAGACAGCTATTCTGACTAATACACCAGAGAAGATGTTGATTGAAGAAGAAAATTCGAATAAAAGTGACACTATCAAGTGTAAAGTTCAGCTTAAATATAATCCAAAGAAAAAATCTTTGCAATTGAAGAAAAATATCAAAAAGAGAAAAGTACCCCGGAGTCTTCCGATGAGGAAGTTTTGTGCTTGTTATGCGGTGGTCCATATTCATAAAGCTCCGAAGATTGGTTACAATGTCGAGAATGTAAGCATGTAAGCACTGAGCACATTTAAAATGTACAAACAAAAGCCCCTTCTACATTTGCTTCAATTGTGAATCTGACAGTGATTAGTTTTTTCTCTGTAAAAATATGTTAAAAGAATTTGTTATTGTTTTTATTTCTAATGTTTACACATATCTATTATTTTTTGTCATTGTAATATAAAATATATTTTTTACTACTTCCTATTTAATTTATTTTTACTCTATACTATAGGTTAATATCTGTTACAATCAACATCAGCTCTGTTACTATTGACACTAATAAGGTGTCAATTGTAACGCATGAGGTAACCTGACACAAAGGGTCATAATTTTATTTCTGTAATACTTAAGCAGCTTTTAAGCCGAAGATATTGTGTAATAGAGTCCCTAGTACAGGTTAGAATAAGTTAAAATTTAACAAAGCTCACCTTAGTAAAAAAAAAAAAATAATAATAATAATTTGTTACATTTGTTAAAACCGACACCAGTCTCCTCTACTTAGAACAAACTTCATACGAAATTGACCATATAACAATGAAATAACTGTTGCGATGCGATTCAAAGAATAAAAAGAAGCAGAATTGACATCCAGTATAATATTCAAGTTACTTTAAAGTATTTGAACATTATTCGTTTCATAACGGAACTAATTTCGTACACCTCGTATACTTATATAAAACAAAAAAATTCTTAAAATACCGAATAGTTATTTTTTTTATGTTTTGTGTCGAAGACCGGAAGAACACAATTGTGAGTTTTAAAAGCATTTTTAAAAAGCTTTTTAATATCTTAAAAGTAAATTTAAGAATCCTTCTTAATTTTCAAATCGGGTAGTAAACAGTATTGGTAGAAATCGACATCTCAGACACCCCCTTAATTGTATAGAACATGTGTCGAGCAGATGGACTGAAATACAAACAGCTGTTGTGAAGCAGCTGTATACAGGTAGTTTCTACCATCCTCCCAATAAAAGATTTTGCTGTTAAAATAATCGATACATTATTATTTATTAAGTAAGTGTGTAATTTTTTATGAAATACGATCATGTTCTAGCACTTTTTTAACACCTTGTAAGCTTTTTTTACATAAAGGATTATAATGGATTAAAAACAAATCACATTGGTACACAATTAAAAAACTTTGTCCTTTATACTAAGTACTTTAAACTAAGTATCCTTACCGTACAAATTAGTAAAAATCATTGGAAGCATCACACTTTGACGAATCATACTATCTTGGTTACGGTTAGTCCCACAATCTCTTAAAATACACCATTTTAACGTATATAAAGTAAGCTTTCTTGTTATTTAGTAATGCATATACCTAAATGTTAAAAAAAAGTTATAATGAGCAAATTAAAAAATTGCTGTAAAAAAAGGAAACTCAGGTTTTTTACCACCAGTGAGATGAACGTCCACCTAGAAGTTATGTAATAGTATTAATGATAAATCAGGATGCTCGTCTATATTTAGACTTAATAACTTGGATGGTTTAGCTCTAATAACCAAGAAGGCACAAGACACTAAATGGTAAGTGACGGTGTTAAGAGTATAATCACGAATTTCATCAGTTGATGAAATCGCCATACTTTTTTTGATATGTACGCTAATGGTATGCGTTCTAAAACGCAATAAAATGTCAAATAAGGAATCTTGTATTCTTGGTCCATGCAGCGGAACTGTTGACTTCCATTGAAAACCACTCAATTTTTTAGCAGTAGAGGAATTTTTCATAACACCTTCTTCTTTAAATGCCATCTTCCAATTGAAGGTTGGAGATCGTCATCACTATCTTTACTCTATCTACTGCTGCTCTGAAGAGTTCTATTGAACTGCATTTAAATTCTTCAGCCATGACACTCTCCTTCTTCCTATACTCCTTCCTCCTCTTATCTTTCCCTGTCTTAGCAGTTCATATCGCTGTTCCCTCATTGCGTGTCCCAGATAATGTAACTTTCTTATTTATATTGTGTTTATTATTTCGCATTATTTGCCCATTTCTCGCAATACTTTCGTGTTAATTTTCTTCTGTGTCCATGCTATTCTAAGCATCCTCCTGTAACACCACATTTCAAAAGACTGTA